GAGCTTCAAGAAAAGTGTGGTGATGAAGATGCACAAACTGACAACAGTACAGAATGTAATGCTGATAGAGTGCAGACATGTACTGTATGAACAGTAATGTGGAAATGGGTATGTGGGGGGGGGGGGGCTGCTGCACAGGCAGCGCTGTGCACAGGGCAGGAGTGTGAAGAGCCGCTTTTGTATGAAAATAATAGTGTTTTAAGGAAAGAATCGACTCACGGTGACTGGGTTCATTTTTAAAATGAAAATCAAACTTTAATGACAACATCCTGTACCAAACTTACCCATGTGAGTACACATCACTCATTTTGATTGTAAAGTCACTTTTTTAACAACATTATTTATGAACAGAATTGTAGGTCATGTTAAGAGCAGTGGTGATATATTTACTATGTGGTACCTGTCCATTTTTCAAGGCTCTATCAATGAGTTTCTTTGTCCTCTTAGAATTGCTGACAGCGAGAATTTAACCTCCAGGTGTAATTTTACCTGTTATGCTCTTTGCCCTGCAGAAAGCATGTGGGATAGTATGTTAATATATACAATGCACCACGATTCTCTTAAGAACGAAGAATTTCCGTCTCTGACTCATAATAGAATAGATCCATAGAACCAATTTGTATTTCAGTACAGAGATTGGAAATGTATGCAGCCTTGTAGCATGTAGGGCCTTACAAGCAAAGCCGTTGCCGTTAAAAATCTTGCCATGTTCTCAGAATAGCATAACAGCTGAAGCGTTTCACTGCTTCTCCTGTGTTTTTCCAGCAGACGGGCCTGCAGTTACAGACTTTCTGTAAGGGGGCTAAAAGGCAGCACAGGAAACACTCGGCGCTGGATGGATTGTGTGGGGCCACGAGCTCGGTGGGGCTTCACAAGCAGGAGGGAGAGAAGAGGAATCGGGGGCCGCAGGGGTCAACTGCCTAGTAAAGACTCATCCCAGATTTTTATTGTAGGCCATTGGGGACATTTAGAAAATAGATTATTGTTAACAAGTCTAATAAAATGGCGGCTATGGAAAGTGAAGGCCAGCCCTAATTACCCATTTCCAGAGAATGAAATACACCTTCCATTTACACCATGTAATTAAGCATTCAGTGCTTTAAAACTGACTTATTAGACAATTAAACCTGCATCATCATCATCATCATCATCATTTTATTTAGTCTTTCTTCGGTTTGGTACTGTGCACTTTTAACCAAATAGCCGGCAGAAATTTAATTTTCTCCTGATTAATGCTTATGTACAAAATCAATTATGTGCAAAATCAGTGTTAGGCTTGGAGCCTCTTGGCCGCTGTGCCTCGCAGGATGCTGATTGGCTGTCTTGGCAAGCGGAACTCTGGCCAGTCACAGGAAAGGCCCCCCCGCCCCCACTCCGAGCTCGTAAGTCACTCATCCTCTGCAGGATTTCTGGTTTGGACTACAGTATTTATAAAACTGTAGAAATGGGGGGGAGTTTCCATTGTGAAAGTGTCTACTAAGCATCATAAAAAAGGGCAACTTTCATTTTGATTTTGCCCCAAGTCTGGTTCCATTTCCCCCTTATTCCCAAAAATAAGTCTTAAAATGAAACCCAGGCCCACAGATAAATCCCAGCATCCCGCAATAAGCGACAGGGACCCACTGGTGTCCTGGTGCTTCACCACCTGCGGCAAACCCCACTAACTTTGCTGTCCAATTTCACTTTTTCTTGGATGGCGTGTGGCAGGGGGTGGGGGCCAAAGAGACCTCTAGAGCTCTCTTACGTCGCCCCCCCCTCCCCCACCCAGACAATGGTGCCCAAGGAGTCTGTAGGAGCTGAAATCCAGGCTAAATAAGTACATACTGTTTGACTCACAGGACACAGGCCAGCTGCTCAGTATCAGAATGGGCTCCTTCCCATGATTATGCAGCTTCTGGTATAAATACAGCCTTAGCAAGCAGCACAGGAAACCATTAGATCTCTGCCATCAGCATATTCTATCTTCTGTGAGTTAACTATTGTTAGGAAACATTTTATTACTACTACTGTAGGCAGCTCTATGGAAACAGTCTTGCAAATTGACTTTTTTTGAAGTTCCTTAATCTTTGAAGGCAGTCTTCCTTCTGTGTTTTCTGCTTCTGAATTACAATGAATGCAACTTACAAAATCGTTCCCTAAACTCACACTGTGCACTTCAGGACCAGCCTCCCCTAACATGCTCCTGTGCCTTTTTATGAGCAATAAAAACGCGCATCTACATGTTGGCAATGGAAAGTTTTTCCAAAGGAACCTTTGTCTTGATAAAATTTCAGCAGTCGTAACTCAAACAAATATGACATTTACAGCAGCCATTCAAAGCAAAACAAATACTCCTTGAAATAGTTCCTTTTCCTTTTAGGAGATTATTCCCCTGGATAAGACTGAGATGGGTCAGGATAATCCTAAAAGTACCTTATTGCTGTTTGACTGTAACCTGAATGCATGTGGTCTTGCTAATAATTAATTCTGTCGGAGGATGATTTTTGTTTAACGATTTATAAATCAAACACCATTAAAATCCTACAACAAACAGAGAAATAGATGGCTTTTTGGAGGAAATATGTGTCACCCATAGATCTCAAAATAAAAGAACTATTTTATGTAAGTACTGCCAAGAATTCAGTACCCAGCAACGATTACTCATGCCTTCAGAAAATGTACTTTAGGTTATTAAAATAAGAAGAAGTGCTGTGGGAATGAAAAGCGTATGAAATGAGAATGTATCTTGAACCCAGTGGTTGGTTGTAAAGAGCGCTTTCACCATGCATAACGTGAAATCCTGTTATTAAAACATGCCACAGTGAGGAAATGCTGTGAGTATCATGTTTAAGCTCATGAATATCATGCGGATTTTAGGGTGGGATAATATTACTCTGCATTAGCCCCCAGACATATGCAGGTAATTTAAATCTGTGTAAGCACAGGCATGTATGATCTCCCTCAGACAGCCAGTGAGGGAGAACTGGTTGACTTCACTGGCTGCTCTTTATAACTGACTTCACTCTTTGTCTCATTGTTTATGATTTTGTCATGAGTCAGAATAGCCTTCCACGGGCCTCCAGACAACACGATCTGACTTCCAGATGAGGAATGTCGCTGTAAATATTCAAATTGTTATTGAGATCAACCGTCCGCTATTAAGATCCGGACCTGGGCTCGGTGCCGTTTGCCCCGTCAGGAGGGAGTCTCACACTGACTCTGTACCAGAGACCTCCAGCATGCTGTTGTATCAAACCACAGAACAGCACTGGGCCATCAGGGTGAGCGAGATGGTTAAACTGCTCTTTCTCGTCAGGTGTGCTGCTGCTCAGTGTCAGGGAAAAGATATATGATGTGTAGCATACTTTATTATTCACCTTACATGTTACAAGGCACTTTCCCATTTATAGCCCATAATCTTGCTGAAGTGAAGTTGAGTTTAGTCTTGTATGGTATTTCCTCTGCCTGACATGAAGGTTCTAAAAAAGTGCATTTGAGGTGAAAAGTCTTTGCAGTACATATCTTAAATGCAATCTGAATGAACTCCATCAGTGTCACCATAATATGGATCCTGTATAATCCTGCAGAAACAAGCCTGTTTAATGACGGTCCAAATGTTCTTCCTAAAGATTCTTATCTGCCTGAATTGAAGCAGGTTCTGTCACGGCTTCTCCCCCAAATCTGTTAAGACTCCGAATTGTATACCAGTCTCATTATACATCAGACCTGCCACTACACTGGTCACTTTATCCAAAGGACACTGCACCTTTTGCTACATCTGTGTCACAACTGTTATATTTATTCATTTATTTGCTTGTTTATTTATTCATTCACTTTTGTAAATCAAGATTTCTAGATTTCTGCTTTCTCTGCCATAACCGGGTTCCCCAAATCCCCTGTGTGTTAATGTTTGTATATTCTGTATTATTTATATTTATTAGTTGTCAATCTACTTTTTGTGCCACTGTATGCTGTGAATTGTATACAGATGGTGTGACAAGAAAGACCCACTTGACTTGATATTGCTTTATTATTGCATGATATGATAAAAAGCAGAATACCTGACCATTCGGGTATAGAATTTTGCATATATATTAACATGTATGGTTTTGAAATTTTTATTGCGCAAGGAAAAGGTGGAGCTTTGACACATTTAGCAGAAATGTATCAGTCAAAGCAAATGATGGCGTTTGTTCTTAATGAGTTTGCTTTTCTTAAGTGGGAAGTGACACAAAGCCAAGCCTGAGAGTAACCAACCCTGCAGCACCGCAAGGCACACGGCCTGCAAATTCCCCCAAATGCTTCTGTAACAGAGACCCCCGGCTTCATTAAAAACTGGCATGACATGGAAAGGAATATCACCTTCCAGGCAGGCTGGGGCAGGACAGATCAAAGGGCATGTTGAGCCAATCACACTGGATCCATGTTACCCCGGCTGCATATTGTGGATATTACACCAAGGTCGTGTCAGTATAGGAGACTTTGTATCGCTAATAGTCAACTCCATATTACTGTACTTAGGGACTTTTCATTAACCCAGTTCAGTTATGACACATTTTATGTTGCTGGATCCACATGAGCTGGCTTGTAAAAATGAGGCTTTGTAAACTGAGATGGACTAATGTATTACATGTAAGCCTTATATAATAATTACAATAAGAGGACTGCCTTTCAGCTTAATGAAAACTCTCAAACCGTGAAATCAGAAAGAAAAAAATAGTGTGCTCACAATTTCTAGCCTGAATTATCCCAGTTTTGAAGGTCAAATGTGGCTGAAGCTGTTTGATGTGCTGGAAATGACTATGCATGTAACAGACCTGCATTATGATGACATGAGAAGAGTTATGTGGTTCTGGTTCACATTACCGCCTTTTTGCTGTCAGTTAGACTTTATCTGTGGGCTGGGCCTCAACGGGGGGGATGCGGGGGGGTGGAGAGGGACTGTTTCAGGACCACTGACAATGTTGGCCGGATGCCATTAGGGGGGCGTTACTTACAGTATACCAAAATGAATGGTCTGACATTTGTCAGACCACTGCATGTATGATATTTCAGCACTATGTGTCTGTTAGTTTTAACTTGCACAATAAAGACTTTCCTGGTGGGATTATCTCTTCTCTTTGTGCAGCACCATGAGATGCAGAGTTTTGTTATTATATATATTATTATATATATATTTTTTTAGTTTGACAGAACAATGTTACCTGCAGCAAATTGTACTTAATACCATGTTTAAATGATAGAATGTTTATGTTGTGACAGTGGCTGACAGCAATGGAGAGATTCCAGAGTCGATGCGCTAAAATAAAACAAAAAAAAGTTTCCCAGAGCTTATGGATAAAAGTTCATGCATCCATCCTATGCATCCAATAATATTTCACTCTTGTCAAGCATTCAATCCTGTGAAAAAGCTTACATCATTCATCTGGAAGCTGTGTTCCGATATGCTCTGTTATAACACAGGAAAATTTTTCCATGTGTGATACATTAAATAAACTCTATTCATATGCTGGTGACTTTTCCAGTATCTCTATTTTGCAAAGCATAGTAAAACAGTCACAAACCAAAACATTGAATTAGATGTTTTTTTTTCACCAAACCAATTACAGTACAGTAATTACAATTAAGAAAGATAGCTTACTTCTCCAATCTTATATTCAGGTTTTTGTAAAAGTAGCATTTAATTTTACATTTTATTTAATTTTGGATTATCGGAACATACCTGGGCCCATGTGACCAGGCTGGGAATGCAGAATCACAATGCTGTGATGGTGATTTTAAGTTCCCGTGGCAATTGATTACAAATTCTGCAGTTAATGAATCATAGCTCAACCTATTTGGACAAATTGCATTTTTGGAATATATCAAGTCAGTTGGGAATATGAGAAACATGAATATCCGTGGAAAGCACAGTTTTATACTTTTATTAACTTAGGAAATCCTCAATTTGCTTGGCATCATTCACAACCGCACAAGCATATGCCTTACTGCACTTTTTTGCATGTTCACATACTTCTCAGAATACCTGTTCTATGTATCTTTCAATTAATTCACCATCCTTCTCTCATTACCTTTGTTTGAGGTCCATGAGGCTTTCAGGAGCTCTGATTGCTGAGGGTTCTGAATGCATGTCAGTTCCTGTACCTGCTGACCAACATGTCAGCAACTGATTGAACCGTGAAGTATTTTATGTGTCCCCTTGGGCAGCCCAGGTTCCTACATAGCAGAACATGACCGAGAGCGACTAATTTGACCCAATCTGGATCCTTTCAATAAATACAGATGTTGTATTGTAACATTCGTCTTTTAGCAAGTTTCTTGCAGTTTTTGTATGCCTAAATAATTAGAAATGAATCTTTGCAGTCTTTTCTAAATTCATTAGCCATACACCTTGGTTTGAAAATGAAATTAGGCCAAATGCATCTGTTCTAAGTTCACCTTCTGGAACTTTCTTCTCTTATAAAACTTGTAGTCAGTATAACCAGAGCATCATGGTGTCCAGTTAGCTTGTAGGTGAGATGAAATGGCTCTGAGACACTTTTAGAAAAAGGGACTGATCAACCCATTTTCAGAAAAAGATTTATTGTAATTATTGGAACATGTTTATGAATAGTTAAGCAGTGACAGGATAAAAATCTGAAAGACAGTTACTGCTAAACACCAGCTTCCAAAAATATCGTAAAATATTTCAAGCTAAAATGGCAGCACTTGTGCTGCTTCATTCGGAAACTTGATTCAGCAATAAAAGAACAAGCATAATTACGACAAGATTGAAATTCTGATTAAGCACAAGACATATAACTCAGGATACTTTGCAAATCATTTACTTTCGAAAAAGGTGACTGGCTTGGTGTCTGAGAGGAGCTAAGCGTCGTCAAAAAGAAAGGCTTGAAAATCGATGAAGAAGAAAAGAGGCAGTCAAGGTTCTGAATGCAAGCACCCCAAAATCACCATTACAGAGGTAAACAGTCCTGTTGGCCCTCATCTTTGCACACTGAAGTCTAGATCTGTTCCAGGATACTTTGTCTCTCCAGTTCAACTTTACATGTCTATTTGTGTTAGCCTGCCATTTATAAAACGCTTTCTATCTATAGAGTACTGCCTGCAATATTAATAATAATAATAATAATAATAATAATAATAATAAAAACAAAACCACTTCTAATATTTGTTGACCACACACAATCAGCCAAACCTAAGGCAATTTTTAAAAACACTGTTCGAATTCATATTTATACTGAAATAAATGCATTTTCAGAAAGGCTAACACAAAGTTCTAACATTTACATGGATTCAAGTGGAATTTCAAGATCTCAGTAATAAAATGTTGGATTTAATGACCAATTAAAAAAAAATGTAAAACTGATCAAAACTGGTATCACCTCTTAGACAGGCTCTGTCGTCATGTATTGTAGATTATGCTGTTCTAGCACCATGTTCCGGGTTATTCTTTGTTTCATTTATAACACTTGTATACGTTGGATTTCTGAGCTGAAGCTGAGTTCCTGATCAATCACAACCATTCCCACAGCTTGGGGCTTTGAGGTCAGGGTCCGTTTGGTGAATTAATTCCTGGCTTCTTATCTCATTTAGCTGGAGGGTGTCCTCACATGGTCCTGCTCAGTGTGTGCGCTCCCGGAAAGGCGGGGCCATCCTCGTTCTCCTCCTGTTTCCTCCTGTGTAAACAAAGAAGACATTTTAATTCAATGCATTCCATTTGAGGATGGCTAATTTGGATCAATCAGTCTGTCACAGGCTGTAGTTGTGCATGAAACTGTCCACACCAGAGGCTGACGCCACAAGGCCCTGACTCCTGTCTGACAATAAAGAAGCCAGGGGTCCTTTGTGGTTTAAAGTGGTTCACCTTTAATCTGCAATTCGATTGGATTTCCAATGGAGGTCATAACTTTAATATTCACTTGTTCCTATATTTTCAAAATCTATTTTGTACTCAAACGCAAGGGTGGAATATGGGGGGGGGGGACCCTTCTCAGGTGCCTGAGTTGAAATTGCAGTTCATCGGCAATGTGGACGCCTATGCCAGTCGGAAAAAGAGACGACTTCTCCTGCTTTAGCTGAATAGCATTTTAAGTGTTTCACCTGGCTACCTATCAGAAGGTATCAGGCACAGATTTTTCAGTATTTTGTTTTAGTTAGTTGTCTGAATGCAGTCGTTTACTATCAGGGTAATCAATGGTGCTGTGTGAGGTTATAATTCTGTTCTATGCACTTTGCATAAGTGGTTTGTTGGTAGCCTATAGGCAGACAAAATAATAGGTTATGTGTGCATCAGATTGCGTTAACACATAAAGTAAGCAAGGTGCATTACTGGACACTGTATTAAATTAAGTGCAAACATCAAACCCCACCTATGGTCCGATGTGTGTTATACTTTAAATCACTGTGTCCTGATCTAGTTAACCTTGGTATACAGGTGGTGGACATAATAATGCAAACACCAACCAATATAGCTATATCAATTATCTAGTGAAGAGTAGAGACACAGTCTATTCTAACAAGGAGCTTCAATCCTTCTTGGAATGCTGCCATAAATATCCATGGATTCCAGCCACTCATCCAGTAGAGAGTTGCTGCACAGTGCATGGAGTGTATCTCAGGCAGGAGAGGGGACACGGCTGGGGAACACCCCCAGGCAGGAGAGGGGACACGGCTGGGGAACACCCCNCAGGCAGGAGAGGGGACACGGCTGGGGAACACCCCCAGGCAGGAGAGGGGACACGGCTGGGGAACACCCCAGGCAGGAGAGGGGACACGGTTGGGGAACACCCCAGGCAGGAGAGGGGACACGGCTGGGGAACACCCCAGGCAGGAGAGGGGACACGGCTGGGGAACACACCAGACAGGATGCCTGTCCATCACAACACTGGAAGTATGATGTAACATAGCTGCCCAATGAGCCACTTTGCCATCCTCAGAAATGAATCATGCCACGTGCTGCTTAAGCGGCACCATTCTTTAGGACCTTGGCAATTGGCAAGAAGTTTCTGGAGTTATTTAATTATCCGCAATAGAGATACTACAAAGAATTAGACTTTTTTTCCTTTATTACGATATTGAGTGCATCAGCTTTGCCTATAACTGAATGGTCTTTGGGTGTCCAGGTCCTAATTTAAAAAAATCATCTTGGTATCAAATCATTCCACCTAAGAATGTTAGTTGGTACCAAAACCCGGTAAGTTTCATCCCGAGATTTGGCAGGACAGCCCTAGGTTTGGTAGAGCAGAGAATAACCACCTTCATGTCAAATACTTTTAGGTAAACATTGTCATAAGAAAGTTTTCAAAAGTAAGATATACTTTTCCTGAAGTTGTACCTTCACACTTTTATTTCAGGGTGTACCTTGGATGACTCTGGTAACTTTTGTGATTGCAGGTTCCCCTTCAATGACTCTTGTGACCTTGGTGAAGGTCGGTTCCCCTTCAATGACTCTTGTGACCTTGGTGATGGTTGGTTCCCCTTCAATGACTCTTGTGACCTTGGTGATGGTCGGTTCTCCTTCGATGACTCTGGTAACCTTGGTGATGGAAGGTTCCCCTTCAATGATAAACCATTAAAACTCAAACGGCATCATAAAATATAGCACAATTACTTATTCAATTTAAAAAGCCAGTAATACATGTATGAGATATTCAGTGATTCCTAAATGTTTAAACTTTTATTATTGCTTTAATTAGATGTACTTTTGTTTAATAATCCTTCTCTGCTGTCCCTCTTTTACAGACATGATGTCAGGCATCTTTGTTATATAACCAGTCTTGGCTGTACATCAATCACCAGACGATCCTTTCACTGTGATGCATGCACATGCAGCAGTGGGCTTCAGCCATAGCTAAGAAATGGTGGCAGTGTTTTTCTTCCCCAGCATGACCAGTGCGTGGCCTCCAGAAACTGTTCAGCTCTGCAGGGCGTGATGGTGCAGCTAGAACCGAAGCAGTATCTGCAAGCAGGTAGCTCACAGACTGGCGCGTGGGTCCTTGGTAAGCAGCGGGCATCGGAGCTGGGTTCCTGGGAACGGATGTCGAGGGAAGCGTCCAGCCGTACCAGAGATTCAGCCGGCTAGACATTTATGGGCACCGTAACAGCATCGGCTTTATTGCCCTTTTTGATGGCTTGGTGTCATGGCCATTTCTCTTTTCTTCAACTTTGCATGAGAGCCTGCAGCCTTTCCCATGAAGCATGGGGAAGGACAGCGGACATGGCAGTCTACACACGAGCACACGTTGCCAGCAAATTAGAGACACCAAGTATTGTTGAAAGAATGTAAGTTAAGCAACGTCAACCCAGGTTGCTGTGGTTACAGTTGCCAATGAAGGCCATTGATGATTTCGCTTTGTATTGTCGAGTCTTTGAGCCAAAGCAGTGAGCATAGATCTCATTCACAATAAGCCTGTGGAAGTATGATTGCCTGCCTCATTCATGGATACCTGAAACGTCACGGAAAGAGCGGTTCCGCGTCCTGTCACGGTATCTGGGTCTCTGATCTGGACACATAAAGTCACACAAACTGTGGGGTTTCCTCCATAATAATTAGGCATTTACCAAATTTCCACAGGACGTGAAATCATACCCTACCATAGACCCATGTGTGAGGTGGGCTGGTATATCCCACACAACCACAAACATAAAGTTATCAAAACAAAAAAAAAACCCAACTTTACTAAAATAAGTGCCAGACTGAGCAAAATGGAAATGCACATTTTTACTGAGGGATTTAAGAAACTGTTAGACCTTCTGCAGAAACTCTTAAATGCCATTTAATTTAATAAAACTCATAATAACACGTCAGGATGATTAATAGCTAAGAATAACACTATGTTTTCCCAAAAGGAAAAGTCCACTTGAAAATGTTATTTTTTCATTAAGTGTTTCCATGACATTAGTGTTGAATGACACCTGAGGAACTTTGCTAGAAGTTTAACCAATTTTGCTTTCTCCAAATACTGGGTATTGATACACTTACCTTGGATCACACGGGTGACAGTCCTCTCTGTAAAACAAAGATGTGAAAGTTACCAGCCTACATAGAGGAGGCTTGTAAACATTTCAATAGTTGAAGCAGGATAATTATATGAATCTTAAAAATAATACGGTGTCAAGAAAAGCCAGTAACAAAACAGAATGGACTTACTCAGGAAAGTCAGAGGAATCTCTCTGTATCTGTACCCAGGAACATACTGGGGAAAAAAGAAAGGAGCTTATTTGTACTAAGTATAATTTTAATCCCACACTGGAGAACCAATTAAATTGACTATTTAATCTACCTCAGTAGGCAGCAAATGAATACATAAGAAAGTATGATTTTGATATTTGTGAAATCATCATTTATGTACAGTATATTTAAATCAGTGTCCAGTAAATGATTATATCTTTCTGATTTCCTTTTATTATTCATGCAGCATTCCAGTATAGCTTAAAGCCAAGTTTTGCACCTTGTGATGCTGCCAATAAAACTTTACTTTTTCAGTCTGAGCGACTGCTTTAGGGCGAGCTGTCTTTCTGACACGGTGATCGCACCGACTTGTAAAGTACGTGATGATGGCGGTTCGACGTGAAGCGTCACGCTGGGAGATATGTTAACTTGAAGTTCATGCTGAAGCTCATCTCGGTGCTGTACCTTGATCTGGATGTGTCTGACAACTCTCCTTAAAAGGGTCTGTAGCTCTTGGCTTCCCACTGGCAAATCTGTTAGTAAAAACAAAACTGCCAATCAGACGCGGATGACGAATAGCGTGTCCTGTCAGGTAAGAGTAACAGAAATGTGTCCAGACTGAGGCTCCCAGTGGGGAACATGCATCTGTGGCTCTGCTTTCTATTTCCAAACAGTCGTTTCTTAATTGAAACCCCATTTAACAACACAATTTAACTTCTTAAAGTGTTTTGAGGAGAGTACAGTGACCAAGAAACCTACCTTCAGGGTAAATGAGAGTTTGCATGTAGTGAATTACTCCGTTTGAAGCCATGACATCCGGATCAGAGACCTCGATAGAATTCACTTGTATGGTATTGTTCTAGATAAAATAAAAAGGTCAAATAAATGTCATCACTTATCCAGTACCACTGAGGGAGGTGAGATATTGAGGCATATCCACACAATGTAAGCCATTTCCAGATGTCAATTCACATACCTGCAGGTTTCTGGACTGTGTAGGGAGCCTCATGCGACAGTAGGAGCTAATGCAGACTCCACACTGAGAGCAAGGCCAGACTCAAAAGTATAAGGCAGCAGTGCTGAGCACTGAGCCACTGTATCATCCAGGGACCAAATAGCGAATAGGATTAGAGAAAATATTTCCTGTCCCCTGTAATTTTTGTGCTCAGTTTGAAGTGTTTACTTATGTGTAAAATTTCCATAATGAAGAGGCATTCTTGTTGGAAATACAGCTTAATATGTCTGCAAATATTTTTTTCCAACTAAAGTATGCTTTGTTACTAGGAAATTTCTTTTAATAATAACTATTAATTATTGTAAATAATAGTTATTACTGGGAATGTCCTACACTGATGTACTGTGGTTTGAGAGAAATCAATCCCACATTTTATGCAAATAATAATTTTAAGATTGAAAGATTTAATATGGAGTCTTAGGACTTTATGGAGCTCATCACGGCAAAGCAGGCCACTCACAAGCAGCACTCGCAGATTATTTCCCTGCAGGGACTTGAGCAGGTTGGTGACTCCGCCCTCTAAGCCTCCACCAATGAAGATGCCGTTACTGATGTGGTACAGAAGGATGGTCCTCAGGGCGTTGACGTCACCTGATCGTGAGTGAGGACACGGTAATGCTGTTATATCCCAGATGATCTCAGTGAAAAACAAGCTTGTCAGAGGTCTTATTAGTCATCCCATTGACTGAAATTAATTACGAGATGAAATATATGAAGAAAAGCAACACTTGAGTGGGATGTACGTTTTAACAGAGCGATGTCTTGTTGGCTCAGCCCCTTGAAGGCATCATCAGTAGGGGCGAATAGCGTATGGTCGCCCTCCTGCTGCAGCAACTGAGTCAGGCCCGCGGCTTCCATCAAGGACAGGAATATCCTGCAATCAGGCACGACGACGGACACTTAACGGTGGCACACCAACAGCAGGTGTGAGTGAAAAGCGTAAGGAAGAAGCATCTCAAAGGAGGAAGAATGCTTCATCACAGCTTACTTGAATTTCCCGCTGGATCTCAGGATCTGGAACATGTTGCTGTCAGCTGGCTTGATGAAGGTCCTCAGGAGGTGCAGGGCGCCATTGATGCCTTCTTTGCTGCCCCTCACCATGCAGGCATTCTCGATGCAGACAGCCTATCGAAGAGTGAGACCCCTACTGGCACCAAAACAGTACCTCTATGTTTGTAGCCAACTGTACTTTCTACAAATCTGGGCACACCTGATTCTTAACTACTCCGTGCAATATCAACATTTGTGATTCCTCGCATTTCTTTCTTTGGTAGAGTAGGAGGTGTTAGGACTCACTGTGCGATAGATGAAAACTCTCAACCATTTGCCACTAATGGTCTCCAGGCGTTGGCCATTGTACAACTGGCTCAGGACCAGCTTCTTCTTCAGGATGTGGTTCTCCAGGATGACCCGTAGTTCATCTTGGTCCATGGCCATCACCTCATCTGGGAGAGTCAGGGACACAGGGCGGCAAGGTAGCTATACATGACAGCATCCTCAGCTACCACCCTAAGGCCAAAACAGCTCCTCAACAACATCTCATACCCAGACATCAGAGGAGCAACCAGTGAGATGTTGAGGTTTCTTACTCTTTGCATGCTAAAGCCAACCATATAACTTTAAAAAATCTTCGGAAAAAATCATAAAAACAGAGAAAATTGTATAAATATATGAGGAATAACCATCTATCCATTTTCCATAACTGCTTATTCAGTACAAGGTTGTGGTGAAGCCCGCTGTCTGTTCCAGGGTGGGATAATAAAGAATAAATTCACATTAAAGAAGCTTTATAAGCTCTACAATACACTATGAATAATCTCTGCTGGCTCCATCAGGTCTTTGAAATGTGCCCCACTGAGCACAATCTGGAAATATCAACTGCTAGGGCTGTTGCCATCTATAGAGTAAAGGTTTCTTCCGAACTGTTTGCCAGTTCAGAAAGACACACTCATAGATATTTAGAAACAGCACAGAAATAAGATGAGAGTACAATCTCAGTTATTAAAAACCAGAAGTGTTTTGCAATAGTCCCATGATGCTGACCAGAATAAGTGGTTAGAAGATAGATTGATGGGTGAGTGTTTTGCAATAAATGGCAAAGTCATTCTGGTACGTAATAAGGGTTGCATAAAAACAGCTCAGATTAATAGATGAAACAGCCAGCATAGCAAATCACTCTTATTTAAGATTGTTGTTGCAGTTCTAGTAATCTTGAGCGGTACTGGGAATGTTATCATATGGGCGATTTACTTTCCTGGCTAAAACACAGTATCAAGGCACTTGGAAGTGGGCTGAGGTGTGTCACTCACCATTGAAGGCTGCATTAAAGGGGGCCAGGAGCGTGTATTCCATTTTGGGTCTCATCAGGGACACCAGACCCAGTTCAGACACCATGTCACCATACATAGACTGGGAGGCACCGACCAACTCCATCACCTGTTTGGCTGAAAGGAAAAAAAAACAGGAATATATTATATCAGGAATATAGTACCAGCCCTGGTCCAAACTCACAATGCTATATATGAGCATTCATCCACTTATCCAATATAGAGTCACAATGACCTTAAAATCTATCGTGAACACTTTATTTAAAGCTGTCATCTGTAATAGTTATAGGTACATTCATAATGCATTATAATGCTCAGTATGAGAATTAATAAAGCATTACAGCATCTTCTATTGAAAGTCATAAGGTATTATAGTGTTGACTATAATAATTCATAAGCTCTTATGAATCTATCCCAGGAATCATAGGGAACGATGCAGGGAACACCCCAGGCAAGATGCCAATTGATCTTAGGGCAGACGTTTACACACGATTGCACAATATGGGCAATTTACAGTCAATAATACATGCAGCCGTGTGTTTTTGAACTGCAGCCAGAGATCAGAGCACCCCAGGGAATTCTGGTGCACACATACGGAGAACACGCAAACTCCACACACAGAGAACATGCAAACTCCACACACAGACAACATACAAATTCCACACACAGAGAACATGCAAACTCCACACACAGCAAACATGCAAGCTCCACACACAGAGAACATGCAAACTGTACTTATGTTCTTATGTTCTTATGTAAACTCCACACACAGCAAACATGCAAATTCCACACACAGAGAACATACAAACTCCACACACAGCGAACATGCAAACTCCACACACAGAGAACATGCAAACTCCACATATATCGAACATGCAAGCTCCACATACAGCGAACATGCAAACTCCACATACAGTGAACATACAAGCCCCACACACAGAGAACATGCAAACTCCATATGCAGAGCCAGACACGGGACTCAAACTCCCAGTCCCTGGATGTGTGAGGTCACTGGGAGGTCACATACTGTATGCAGACAGTTGTTAGAGTAACTTTTATACGTTTCAGAGGATTGTTGACCTCTGCTCCTGATACTGTACTTATCCATAAAACATTTGTGCTGTCTCACCTGAATCAGGCATGAGGACCTGGTCAATGAGGTGGATGACGCCATTACTGGTGACGATGTCCTTCTTCAGCACCATCTTGACACCGTTAATGGTCAGGCTCTCGCCATCACAGCCGATCTCGATGTTGTGACCCTCAAGTGTCTCGTAGGAGGCGCCAGCCATAATGGCTTCAGAGCACAGCACTGAATCCAGGAGATGGAAGTTCAGCAGTGCTGCAAAGTGACAGAAGGCCGAGTCAGAAACACGGGGATGAGAAGACGAAGGCTGTAAATCCACTGGTATGAATGGGTGACACTAGTCTGTTTGTCGGTATCACCATGACACAGCATTTAAAAAACAGAAATAGAAATACATAGAAAAAGAAAAATAGAAGAGAATGTTTTGGTAAGCTGGCTTTTGGTTTATTTCATGATTGGTGGCGTTGTTTTCTGTGGGTTATTGTTGTTGTTTAACGGTGCTAAATACAGTGTTGAAAAACTGTATGTCTTACAATGCAGGTGATTTCTGGAGGGGTATAGAGTTATAAAATTTAAGGAACATGAAACAATGTTTCATTTCCACAGTAACCGCAACCAGTCGATTGAGATTAATTCTACAGGAACCCCGTCCCCATTCAGCAGAATGGGGGCTGCGAGTCTGTGGCACTGGTATTTTGGGGTGGTGGACACCTGTGCCGTCCTCTGGGATCCTGGCCTGGTGGCACCTGACTGTTGCACTTTGCTGTACCAACCTTGCCAAACATACCACAGATCCTGCCAGTCTTGCATACTTTGACATGAATGGAAGAGAGGAAACATCTGCTTCTTACCCCAGAGCCTGGCGCCCTGCGCTGTACGGTGCTTTACTGAGCTGTGCTCAGCTGTGGTCTCCGGTATTATGCTAAGCTGTACTATACTGTGCTGAGCTGTACAGTTTAGTATTATGCTGAGCTGAGCTATAATCACTTTACTGTACTGTACTCACTGTACTGTGCTGTGCTGAGCATTATTGCTCTGTACCATGCAGTCCAGTGCTGTACTGCACTGTACTGTGTTGTAATGTGCTGTGCTGAGCTGCACTGTACTCACTGTACTATGCTGTGCTGAGCTGTAATGCGCTTTACTGTGCTGTGATACAACAAACAAACAAACAAATTTATTTTTGTATAGCGCATTATCACAACATTACATCGTCTCAAAGCGCTTTACA